GAATAGGCGGACACAAAATTCCAACTCAACCCACCATTTTTTGGCAGGTGTGCAGGCCTGCCAGACCCGTATTGTCACCCCTAATTTGGAGCACATACAATTGACAGAAAATTAGAGTTCAACATATGGACCAGATTCAGAAACAAAAACATTTACCTAGGCTTCTAAAAGAGTGAACAATAATACACATACCTGAGATAATACTTAACTTCTTCATCCTCTTTTTCATGAATGTCATGGGTGGTTCTTCATTGCAGAAATGCTTCACTGAAAACATGACGAAAAATTACAATTATTGTTTGGAAATGAAGAACGAATTGAAACTGATTTCAAATGAAAGGAGTTGTGAAATTAAAAGAATGGAAAAGGATACCTCACTCTCTGATATAAAAAGAAAAACTAGGGATCATGTACAAAGTGGGAAACTGAAAGAACACAAAAGGGAACAAATTCATATATAACATTAAATTTAATTCATAATAATAATTAAAATTGAAAATAAGAATGGTTTAAAATTATTTATAATATTAAAAATATTTATTTTTTCAAATTAATAATAAATTGTGACATGACATCAACTTATAGCATGTGGCACAAAACAGTACCTGCCACGTCATTTGTCTGTCATGTGCAGGGGGCTAGCAAAAATCAAGAAATATAAATAACGGGGACCAAAATGTGTTTAAGCTTAAAAATCATTGACATTTTTTTGGTTTAGAATAATGTTAATTTAATATTTTTCTATTATATATTTTAATCTTAAAATTTATTTGACCGCATAATCTAATTTAAAAATAAATTTATGATAAGCCTTTAAATTTTCAAAATATAATATATTAGTTATTCTCATCTAATTAATAACGAATTTAATAATTATTTTTAAAAAATTTTAATATTTTGGTAGACAAAAAAAGATTAATATTGTACGTTTTTTATTTTAAAAAGTTAAAAAGTAAATAATATTTTTTTAAAATTAAATAATTAAAATATACAAAAAGAAAATTAAATGAAGGTCATATAATATAAAGAAAAAGATAATACACAAAAAAAGAGATAGGGGGACTAGGCCAAGACCCACTCAAAAAGAGACAAATCTATAAAAACTCAACTCAAGCCTATTCTTTACAAAATAATTTTTAATAGCTATGGCAATTGAGTCAAAAAGAGTTAAAGAGAGGGAATTGCGGTCAAGGTTGGCAAAAAAATTTGCATGAGAGTTTTCTGCCCTGTAAATGTGCGTAATAACAAAATACATATTAGAAATGAGTGTTTTACAATGCAATCATCTATTTCTAAGAACCTATGGGACCAGTGTATCCTTTGAGAAAGCTTGGAGCGTGATAATTGAATAACTCTCTATTCTGAATTGGGCCGACGCTTAGCCCACAATCGAGCAGGCCCAAACCCCACTGGATTTGGGCCCAATAGGACCTCACAGGCGGGCAGAAGATCTGTCGGGCACAGCATCTTCCCCCGTCAGGCACATGCCAAGATCCATCGGGCAGGACCCTCGTAGTTGTCTGGCCAGCCTCTTTCTCCCCCGTCGTCGGGCAGATCTCAGCCTGCCCGGGGAGCTCCTCAGACCTCTCCCACGTTCTCTATGTGTCCCCCACGCAGGGACAAGTCATCAAGTAACTACCCACATCCTGGAGATTCGGTCTTCCACCTCCCGAATAGCACGGAACAGTTACACTAGGGTGAAGACCATGTGCTGAACTTTACGACGCCACATCAGCCCTAGCAATTACCTACGTTGGGCCTGGCAGCCCAACGCAGAGTAACCGTTGGCCCTGCGTCGGGGGCTCATTATAAATACCCTCTTCCACTAGAGGATCAGGTAACTCAACTTTCTTACTATTGTCTCTGTACTTGTTAGCACTCTGCTCGTCGCTTACTTTGACATCGGAGTGTGTTGCAGGTACACCTCCCCTCTGTCCATCAAGTCAGCAAGTTAGACAGCTCAGACGTCTGGCAGCCCATCGATCTCTCTGGTCAGGTACGATCATTGTCTATCCAAATCTTAAGTCATGCTCTTTCTATGGCAATTTCTATGACTTTAAAAACTGCATAGAACTTCACATGTAAGGAGCTGAGACCATAAATTGGCTTGGCGAAACCTAAAATAAAGTTACCTCTATATTGTGAGTTAAAATATTCGTCGCAGTTGCATTTAAGCCAATTAGCATTGGGAGGTTTCTAAATGACTTTTTTCACCAGAGGCGCGTTAGAAGGATGAACGTAAACCTTGAAGAATTTGAGTTAATTAAAGTTTGTCATGGAAGAGGAAGACTTGAGCAAAGAATTGTTACCAGACATAGGAATTTGAGCTATTATTTTTTATATCAAAGTGTGGGTTGGCAAAATCTTGTTGTGAAAATTTTCCAATTGCGAGCCTGCTAGATGGAAGAGATTGTGAAAATAATTGTCGCCTTGATTATGAGAGATCCTTGAGGGAATCTACTATTGTTTCATAAGGACCAAACATCATATTTAAAGGTAATGTTGTTGGAGGAATTGAGAAGTCCACAAAGCCACTTCCAGATTCTAATAGCATAAGGACATCTGAAAAATGCATGCTCAGAAGTTTTCGTGCAAGCCCATGCGACAACCACAAACAGAAACCAAGGTGCAACCCATTTGCTACAGCTTATCATCCATGGAAATTCTGTCATGCATAAGGGCTTATATAGACAAAGAAAAAATGAAGAAAAATTTCTCCCAGGAACGTGGACAGGTGGCGTGCTCAAAGCCAATAATCAGTCCCAAGGAAAGGAAATCCATGATTAATAAAATAAAAAACAAAATCTCGAATCTCGGGTTGGTGGCTAGTTAATAACCTTGGAATTCTAGATAATGATGTACTGATGTCACACATTTTAGAGACGTAATATTTAGTAAGAAAGTTAGTCATAATGAATGGCAACAAGCATGATTAAGGTGACATGGTACAAAATATGAATATTGTTAAAGTATGTACAAACAATGCCATTTTTCTCCCCTCATATATGAGTCGACAATGACATTTGGGGGGGGAGGGACATTTGTTACACTTAGATTTTCATCTACTAGAAATTCAACAAAGAATGTCAATGAAAAGACGTTTACTATAAACATTAATGAAATATCTTCAAAGAAACACTAATGACGAGACGTCGAGAGACCAACGACGATGGTTCGACCGAGTCGTCGACGCAACGAGACATGGTTTAAAGGACTTTCAGGGATGACCCGACTCACTGGAAAATGAGTCCAAAATCTCGAAAAAGACAATCGATAGTAACATGTCCAGAATCTCAAGAAGAACATTCGACAGAAGCCGTCATTCCGAAAAGGACCGGTCGATCGAACGACTTGGTATAAAAGAATTAAGTAAACTTACAATTCTTAGGGGGTCTTGTTAGGCATCGTTGACAATATGTTTGGAGCAATTATCATTGAGAGATTGTGAAGAAGGGGAAAAAGTGGAAAAGCATTTACCACTCAACGTGGGTTGCAAGAAGATAGCGTCTTGAAGTCACGTAAGTGCACTAGTGAAAGCTTGAAGGATTGAACTTAGAGCAAATTCAATTATTCTTCTAGAGCTAATAACAGTCGCCGACGATCATTTCGTAAATAGAATAAATAGAAGACTCATACATGGGATCAGGAGTTACAAAATTTCATACATACTCTCCATACCACTAGAGTACCCGAGTCAAAAAGCGAAACAGTCGACATTTTTTTTAGTTTTTTTTCCTCCTCAAACGAAACATTGTGATTTTTCTTTTGCTTTGTTAAATGTTATTTACTACATTTTACTTTACGACTTGACTTCATTTAAAGTCTTTTACTACGCTACATTCAACTCACACGCACGTGTGTTCACACAAACTATTTGCACAAATTACTTTGAAGATATTTTGAGTTAATCTCATAAACCTTCAAACTCTTGATTGTTTACCAAAAACACCAGTAAACAAGCTTTCATTTCTCATTCGAAAAATTCTATCTATGGTGACATTGCTAGACACAACAGTGGCGGGTTTTTTTTGAGAGATTTTACTTCTTTTTTAAGAGTGTCGAATTTTCTCATTACCGAACTCTGGGATATTATGTTAGCAATTGAATTCATTTATTACAAGAGCTAACACTTATTCGACAATTATGATTAAAGTTTCAAGTCTCATTTTAAAGTTCCCTTGTATAAATTTATTCTGTAATTAAAATTTTGTTGTTTTTCATATCTTTAGATAAGAGAATAATTGTACATATGTCCTTGCAAGTATATGATTAACTATTATTGATTCTCCTTATTTTACATCAATACCTTTGTATTTAAGGGCAGATTTAGTAAATAATAGATTGGTTTCTCTTCTTTTAAGTTTTTTCTCCTTGAGAGGGTTTTAGTTGGACTCTATTTTATATATTTTCTTTCTTCTACTCATCATTATTGAAAAAAACACGTTGAATAATATACTTACATAAATCATTCCCATTCTTCAATATTAATTAAATATCATGTAATTTATTATTATATTTTCACACTTGTTATGGGACAAACAGAATAATAATTTGATGTGAGAGCCACACTTTGAATAATATACTCACATGCATTATTTCCACTTTTCAATATTAACTAAATATCACATTTAAAAAATTATTATTATATTTCCACACTTCTTATGTGAGGAATGAAATAATATAATTTTTCTTTATAGTTTCAGCCTTGATGGTATGTGACCAGGCATCCCCACAAAATGGTATTGAAAGATATCAATAATTATTTATCATTTTTATGTTTAAAAAACAAATTATGATCAATAACATTTTACCGACAGAGTGAAATTATTATTTAAAACCTTGTTTCTGCTATTTATGTTTAAACCTAACTGTTAAGATGAAAATGTTACTTTATGGAAAAGTGGAATCCAAGATAAAACTCCAACATAACAAGTACAATAACATATTAATCATGAGATTAATACAAACTCCTCCACTTATTCATTAAACCATAACTAAACCTAACTCATGTTACTAATTTCCCCACCAGCAACAGATTTAACAAAACCAGCATCAACAAACACAACAGAATAAGCATTAGTTACAGTCAAAACCAAACGTGCTCCACCTTCTTCAGAACCAAACTTTTTCAGTCCAAGATAACCACAATCACCAGTACTATCCAAACAAAACCCAAGCCTATAAACCCCTCCAGAACCATGTTTCGCTATCAAAAACTTTCCACCGACCGTTTCAACACCGTGGTAGTTCTCAGGACCACCAATACCAACACAGTTCAGTTGAGTGGTGTTATCAACGAAGAGCAACCATTTTGATGATTCGGCGCAGTTAGGTTTCTTTGTGAACTCAATGTCGAGATCAGTACCGGTTAGGATGTTACCGGTGGTGCTTTCTGGGATGGTGAATTTGACTGGTATGCCTGCTATAGCGTTGTTTTGTAGGACGGTTAGTGGACATTCGGAATCGGAGATTTTGTTTAGGGTTAGTCCTCCGGTGCTAGGTTTATCGGTTGCTGGAAAAATGAAGTATTGGTTGCCATGGATGAGGGGGTTATTGTTAGTGTCTACAACTTGAGATGGAGCAGCGTTGTTTGATGGAAGATTGGTGATGGAAGTGAAGAGGAGGAAGGAAAGGATGAGAGAGAAAAGGGAATTCATGGTTATGTGCTTTGATGGAAGATGGATGGATCTGTTATATATAGTGGTAAAGATTACTAAGAACACCTCCAATGGTGCAACCCATTTTTGGGTTCTTTGTGGGACCCACTCTTTTAAAGCAACTCATTCAATTTTCACTCCAATGGTGCAACTTCAAAGAATCCATATTGGGTCCCACCACTTTATTTAAAAAATATTATTTATATTAAATTTATTTTATTTAAAATTATAATTTAAATATTTAAATTTTAATTAATATAAATACAAATTAAACATAAAATTAAAATTAAACATAAAATTGAAAATAATAATTAAAATTAAATTTAAATACATGTCACATAATTAAAAACAATAAAAATAAATAACATCACATAATTAAAAACAATAAAAATAAATAACATCACATAAACAAATGTAATTTGAAATAAAAAGATGAAAATTTGGCCTAAACAAATGTAATTTGAAATAAAAAGATGAAAATTTGAAATAAAATGATAATGAGAAGAAATTGTTGGAAAAAAATTAAATATTTATGAATAAAATGATGAAATTGTGAGAAAGAAATTTGAAATTAAAGAGCAAATAAAAAGGAGAGAAAATAGAAATAAAAAGGAGAGAAAATAGGAATGATATAAATTTTTTCCAACAAACCTATATTTATAATAAATAAAAAAGTTAAAAAAATAAAATAAAGCTAAATGATTATTTTAATAATAAACCAAATGAAGAACCGTTGCTTATGTTTGTAACGTTCTACAGCTGGAATAACATTTTGTTGACATTTTCAATGCCAAGCTGGCAAACCAATTTGAAAAACCACCGTTGGAGTTGGTCTAAGCTTCCATTATTTAATTGGTTTATGCTTGCTTTTACATTTTTAGCCCTATTGATTGTAGAAATATAAAATTTATTGACATGTTTTATTTATTTATTTTGAGTTTTGAGTAGAATAATTTTGACTTACACTTGGTTTTGATTTGAAACTAAAATTTATAATTTTTGAAAGAGATTAGATAGTGTTTTGACTGTGTAAAATTTCTACTATCATTTAATAAAAAATTATTAATTAATAATATCACATAATTAATTTAAAAATAGCAAAATATTTTAGCATAATATATATAGTAGTGATTAGTAGACAATATTAAATTATTTTAGAGTGTTAGTATATATTCTTTTCTCTCATTTTTAAAATGTAAGTTTTACATCATTGTGATTTGGACCAACCAAATTCAAAGGGATCAAAGTTTAATCTATTTCAAATTTGATTAATTTGATTAAAAATATAAAATAAATTCACACAAAAAGAGCTAAGTATATTTTTGATCTCCACTTTATCAATACACCTATTTTAAATTTTTAATGGATTTAAATATTAGAGTATTATCTCACCGATTCTCTTTTATGCCATTATGAAAATAAAAGTAATCGTTAAAATATTTATTTATACTTTTTTTCTTTTTGAATAGAACAAATCAGTTTTAAATTTGACTTATTTTTAAATATAAATAAATACAAAAATAAATTTATTTCTATTTTTAACAACATTTTAAGTGTACTTTTGTAAAAAAAGTAAATTGTTAAAACTTATAAATTAATATTTTTATAAAAAGTCCTTGAAATGAAAAGGCAGGAAAAAAAGAGGTAGGTAGGCCCATACCAAAAATGTCTCCCGCGCAATTAAAATGAAAGGAAGAGGATCTATCCGATTTTGGCTGAAATGATAAAACAACCCTTAATATATGATTGTTTTTATTAAATATTTATAACTTTTTTGTACTTCTAAAAGCAACGTATGTATTGTAGCTTGACATTGCCACTATCACTTGATTTTTAGAAAAGAAAACTTTTTTTTTTTGGTTTTTCAATAATATAACAACATATAATTTTTAATTTTTGAAATATTATATAAATATATACCTATATTAATATACATTTTTATATATTTACTTTCATTTCTTCAATACTATTTATTTTCTCATCAAAACAAAACACTAGTATTATTATTTCTTTTGATACTGATAGTGGGTACTAGGTAGCACGTCACGTGGAATATTATTTACACTCACGTGTCCAAATATTTTCAAGAATTGAGGAAACATACAGTGTTATGGCCCACATCCACCTGTCCACATCATTAACCTAATTTCAGCAAACAACTCTTTTTTTTTGTCGATTTGTGGAAAAGAATCAGATTAAGATTCGTAATGAGTTTTGAATATTACGGTATGTGATAAAGAATTATTTTTTTGAAACTCGTTCTACACATGCATGCCACTCTTTCATAAAATAAGAATTTCATTACGTTCCGAACTCTTCAAAATACTTAGTAGTATGTATTTGTGGAAGGTGACATTTGAAACGTTGTTTTTTCAAATAGATGTTTTCATTTTTAATATTTTGTAATGGCCTTAGCTTGCACGGTTCATGCATGGATTTTACTTCAATGGGAAGATATAGAGCAAATTTATCATGGATTGTTTACTTTTATTGGAAGATGAAGAGCAAATTTAGCATTTGTTTGGCTAAGTTTTTGGTCATGTAAACTTGGGTCTGCAACGCATTTTAAAGTACAAAAATGTGAAAAAGATGAAATTACTAATTCAAGTGCTAAGATAAGATACATTTGTAATAAGGAAAGACGTGAAAACAAACAGACATTTAATCATTTAAAAAACATAAATTTAAGAAGAAAAAAAAGCACACGCTGAAAATGGTTGGTTTAATCGGAAAAAATGGGAGTTTGTTTTATAAAAATGATTGAGACTGATTTCTTTGATGAAAAATAAATAAATTTGATGAGAAACTATTAAAATAATAATAAACTAATTCATAACAGATATAAAATTTCTGATAACAACCTTGAGAAACAAATAAATATATAATAATAAATTGAATAAATAATGACACAAATGAAAAAGTAAATATTGCAGGTTGTTCATACCAAAAAAATAACTACACTATAATCAAATAAGACAAGAGAGTCTCAAATTGATTCACAAACTAGTGCTAGCAACAATAAAATCGCAAATCAAAATAGCTTACAAATAAGAATAAAAAAATTAAAAAAATTACTCAAATCTACAACTTCAACTCAACTCTTGTTAAGAGTCCCACATCGGACAATATATGGCATGAACATGTGTTTATAAGTGAGGATAATCCTCACTCTACCAACCGGTTTTGTAAGGTTGAGTTAGACCCAACCACATTTCTTAACATGGTATCAGAGCAAAGTTTAGGGTTGAGTCCTCTTTTGTAGCCGATTTTGTGCCTCATTTTTAACTTTTTTACACATGTTACTATTCTGAAAATTTAATATAAAAATGGCACATCTTAAAAAAATTCTAGAAATATCAATTTTTCAATTTGTACTCGGCCAACCATTATTATTTTCTAGAATATTTATTATTTTTAAATTTTTTATAAAAAGGTTTGTGTGGGAACCTCTAGTTCTTAGATCATTTACATCCATTTAATCATTTCACTCTGAAATATTTTTTCAAAAATGGAGTATTTTAGTAATCCAAATGCTTCTCTTATCAAAAGTGTTGCTCAATTATTTTTTTCGATAATAAAGTCTCCGTTGAAGATCTGACTATGGAACAAAGTGACATACGAGCATTTTCAGAGAAGTCTGGTGAGTTGGTTAGATGGAGAAATTGATGAAGGTGAAAAGATTAGAAGAATTGACAGACTTGTTAAAGATGGAGAAACTCGGTCCTAGAAAGTTGTTAAAAACGAGTCGACTACATTTGAACATTTTCTACGTATATGACCTATTTTGCAACAAATCCCACACTTTATCTTCTCTTTTTCAACATCCTCCATTTCGGTTCAAATTTGAGTACTATTTGGACGTCCTTTCTTTTTCCTTCGCATTGTCTCATCATGGAAAAGAGTATATCCTTCATATGTTGGCCATTTTTTCTGGTGTGAAAAACTAAGGAAGTTTTTCGTTGTAGACTTTAAAAACATTCAAAATCTTGAAAATATCTAGTATGTGCATGGTGTGGTCTTGGTGTATAAAAGAAAATTAATTACATACAATTGAAAAAATATTTATATACTATATTCAAATAATAAGAAAATAAAATATTAATTAAAATATTTTATTATATTATAATATTAATTAAAATATTTATTTATTATTATTTAAAATATAAAAATTATTTTTAAAATTTAAAAATTATTTAAAAATTAAAAATTAAAAAAAAGTCTTAAAATAAAACAGTAAGAATAAAAATATAAAAAAAACTTCTTCAAGGGCTCGGCCAATGGATGGCTGAGACCAAACTGAAAAAGTGGCATTTTTGGAAAAAAAAAATTCAAGTTGTGGCATTTTGGTATTAAATTTTTAGAATAGTAGCATGTGTGCAAAAAAAATCCTCATTTTCCTTGTCTAAACTATAAATTGACTCTTTCCACTTAAATATGTGAGACATAAATGGGCTAACATATTTGGACGTGTCTCTATGTATGAATGGAGTCCAAACTCAATAAATCTTCCACTCACAACTATGTGGAGGAAATCTCCAAACCGACGATATCACCACAAACTTCAAACTTCCCTCTTAGTAACGCTTTAGATATCATATCATAACCATTATCATTTCTATAAACTTTAGCTAACTTCAGCAACTTAGCATCCAAAACATCACATATCCAATAATACCTCACATCAATGTGTTTGGACCTATTATATAAAGACGAATTCTTACCAAGATGAATAACGCTTTGACTATTAAAAAATAACACATATTTGTTTTGAACAAAACCAAGCTCCTAACAAAATTTCTTCAACCATAATGACTTTTTGCATGTTTTAGTAATGTTAATGAACTCAACCTATATAAATAGATAATGCTACAAACTTTTGTAATCTAGACTGCCAAGCCATAGCTCCCCGTGGAAATTTAATCACGTAGTATGAAGTGGACTTTCTATAATCAATGTATCTAGTCATATCAGAGTCAAAGTACCCCACTAGAGTAGGTTTA